AAGAGAAGGGCAGAGCTGGTTTTTCTTCCTCACACACTGATCATAGCTAGAGGGTATCATTTTCCCAGACTCTTTTTTGCTCCATAAAGAGTTTGGTCCCATTTGTAGGAGGAAGCCAACAGATGCCTGGGGGGCTGGCAGGGCTGGAGGTCTGAAAATACTCAGAGTGATCATCAGCTGCAACAAGGCAAAATGAGTTGCCCGTGGACAGGCTGCAAAGGGGTGGCAGAGTCAGGGCTACATCTTCTGGCTGAGTCCTGACCAACCTCTCCACAGGAATAAGTCACTTGTAGCTGCTTAGAACTGCTGCCAAACCCTCAGCATGGCCAGTGACACTTGCTCTAGGTGTTGGCTTTCACTAAATGCAGATCTGTTTGATTTCTCCCCAAAGAAAAAGTGAAACAACTTACAAAGCCAAAGCATCATCTTCCAAATACATCCCCATCGTTACATGGCCACTTAAGATGCTTCCTGCTTCTTCAAAAGCTTCCCTGGCTGTAAAAAAAAAGACAAAAGATACAAAAATAAACAAGAGAAAGAAGCATCAGCTTCCTCCTGGAAGCCAAGTCACTGTCTGCATACATAAAACCCTCCCACAGCAAACTGTCAGTTGGGAACAAAACTAGGATGAGAGGCTCATGAGAAATGGGAGCCTCTGATGGCTGGAGGCTAAGGGAGGAGGAGTTGGCAACCTCCAAAAGGATCAGAAGGAAAGTTCCTATTATGAGAACAGTATTTGCTCTTTAGCCACCAGCACTGAGTTTCCAGGATCTGCACAACAGAGGCACTGATGGAAAATGAAATGTCTTTAAAGACTTCAATTCCCTAAGTGATCTTAGAAACAGAAGACCGAGAGAAATCTAAATAGAAAACTTATAAAACCCAGTGACCTTTTGGAAATGACTGACGACAACTTAACTGGAGTAGTGCTGAGTGCCCAGCAGATCAGCCAACCTCTCCCCCAAGTGTCTTTGGGTTTTATCCAGTTTCTCAGAGCAGGCAGGGTCTGTTACAGGCATCCAGCTAGGACAGGGAAGGGCAAAAAGCTAAATGCCTTGCAGACCCACAGAAACCCACCTCCAGCTGCTGTTGAGGCCCACCACTCGCCTTATGGAGATGGTCACCTTGAGGAGATGGTAAGACCAGGCAGAGGATGGGGAGGAAAGGACAAGATTTGGGCTCTCTTGATCCATCACAGCTGAATCTACCCACGCTGAGAGACTTGGAGAAGAGCCTCAAAGTGAAGCTGACTCCAGAGCTGGTTTACATCACTACAAACCCCTCAGTTTTAGGCAGCTGGATCCATGGGAGGGACGAGCTTTGTGAGAACGTGCAAGCCACAGTGTACAAGCTTGTAACATATGGTTGTAAAACAGAGATCAAAATCACTGCTGCCAAAGGTAGGGTGAAAACAGGGTGGATTTCAACACCCTCACCCCTCCCTCTTCCTCTTGAGCAACTGAA